CGGTTATCAACCTATTGTTTTGTCAAACAGATCTGTATTGAGGAAGTATGGGTGGTCCGCCAGGAATACTCCTGCTCATGCTGTACTACCGTTTAGCCGAGGGAATCGAGTTTCGTTGCTAGCAGCGGTCGATGTCAAAGGATTCTTTGGTTGGGGAATTACTGAAGGTACTTTTACGAGAGCGACATTTCATGAGATTTTCAAGACCAAAATTGCGCCTTACCTGAATCGATGACCACTACAGAGGTCAATCGTCATCATGGATAATGCAAAAATCCACACGTACGAGAACTCCAGGAATTGGTCCACGAAACGGGAGCTATACTGATGTTCCTTCCTCCATATTCCCCAGACTTAACCCAATTGAAGTCACCTTCTCACTTCTTAAGAGGTGGATCCAACGAAATGCAAATATGGCATTCCAAGCTGACCCAGTTGCGGTGATGAAAGTTGCGCTCTACAACTGCACACGACAAAAAGATTCTGTAGGTTTTAATATTTACAGACATTGTGGTTATCATTCACAAAAACTTGAAACACAGGTCAACTAGATGTATTTAATGTGATCTTTCCATTTCATTCGGCTCCATGTGGTCTGTATCGGCAACATTTTGCGCTGGATCAGGCGTGTCAACCTCTATTGGTCCTCGAAAAGGAGGGCACAAACTATATGGCGGTAGACCAAGGGCATCGCGGAGGTCCGCTATGTTGACTGTTAGTGGAACTGGAATGCCGTGGATTTGAACGCGAATGATGCGATAAGCTGCATCGTCCTGTAGTTGGGCAGAAGCGATTTCTTCATTCATTCATCTTTCTTGCTCATCAATATGTAGAAGCTGTCGGAACGTCGTATTCTGGGGAATTTCAATATCACTGCCCTCGGGAAGTCTAGCCTGCGCAACGGCCATATAGTTTTGTGTAGCAGGTACACCAGCAATACCAGACTTCTGTAAGAAAGCGGCAACACGGGGAATCTCTCTTGAATACGCGAGGCGGTAGCTCGACGAAGCGAAGTGCTTGACGTTCGCGACTCTTTGGGGATGTATACGAAGAGCTCAAGAACAAACCCGGCTTGACCACTTTTCGACGCCGAGCTGTGTGCCACACACCTTCTAACTGCGCTTTGAACGCGCTGCTTTCAACAAGTGGGACGTAGTCTTTTTGCTTGGCGTGATTTGATGGCTTCAGGAAGACTGCGAAACCAGGCTGCCATCGCCCAGGAACCATCTCTTCCAGCTTCTTCTCAATTATCTTGCGGAGCGCTGCCGGTCCCTCGGCTATTGTCAATACAAACTCCTTGGGAGAAAATTTTTCATGAGCTCTGGTGCATGGCTCGCCATTCTTTGCTGTAATCCAACAAGTCAACAAGCTGGGCAACGGGAGCTGAGGGACAGAAGAGCTTGCCATTGTAGAATAGAAACTAAGTTAGATCACTGCTTATGAATACCAAAACCAATAATAGAAGCTATTACGATGACTTACGTTTGACGAGGCTTCATGGCATTAGTGCTCAACCCTATCGCCACGTTGAATTACGTCCTCGAACCTTGTTCTAGTCGTCGATTGACTGGCTTCAGCATCTTATTCCGCTCCTCGTTCATCTCCAGCGTTGCAATAACCGGCCCCGCCCATGGTCGCACCCACCTCCTTCTGAACCTCCTTGGCCACCTGACCATCCCCCCTTTAGCTGCTCAAATGGCTCCTAGATCACCAGTGTGGCCATGACCACAGCACCACGTTCAGGTGCTTCAGCGTCGCCTTGGCCACCAGCTCTACTCTTCACGCAATCTCCACTTCTTTGTTGCACGTTGAGCCGCTCCTTATTCATCTCCAGCGTGGTCATGTCCGCGCCCACTCTTTTGTCAACTCTGTGGCCACCAGCGCGGCCTTTCCGCAGCTGCTGGAGCGGCTTCTGGCTCACCGCATGCGCGACCTTGACCACGCGCACCTTCTTTTGTAGCTTGAACGGCCTTCGCGTGGGGTCTGGACTCGGAACTGACGATTTACACTAATCAGCAAAGATTTAACTGGCGAATAGCGTGATTTTACAAATCAAAAACCGGAGTACCTCAAGTCCGAATTTGAGTAAAATCGGACGGCAAACTACATGAAAAGCACAATATATACACATATATTTAAACTGACTGACCTTTCCTTACCGGGTTCTGTGACAGGGCCAGAAGTAAAGTTTGTGAATATTGATCGATAGTACATACTTCTAAGCATTAAGCACATACCTGGTGCATGGCATTCAAACTGGTAGTAGTCTTGTTCTCTAATTCGATCTGTAGGATAAGCTATTGTCGCTCCAATGTTGGTATTGACATGCTTTCGGGTTCTGTTGTCTTCACCGTTTTCAGGAGCATGGGTGCTTTGTACATTCGATCGAAATAAATAGAAGGAAATTGCTCTATTGTATCCAATGCACATCGTACTAGCACGATGAACGCCAATTAGCAGCGGCTGACGAGT